AAGGGGAGCTCAGCTAAACATGGGGCTCGCTGGCAGCTGTGTGTCTCAATATGCATGGGGCCAGGAGAGCTCTGCTGGCTGAAGATACAGCTGTCTCCTGGCCCTGTGCAAATTAGGACCCTTCCCTGTGCATTGGGCCAAGAGACAGCTGCTCTCCTGGCTCCGTGCACATTGAGATTAGCCCCTGCACCACCTACTAGTCTCCAAGCTAGCACCCCAGGGAAGCCTGGAGCTCTTTCTGGCTGCTACAGGGAGGGTAGAGCAGAGCAGGAGCAGCCCTTTACTAAGCTGCTCCGATTAGGAGCAGATTTTCTCCCAAAGGGTGCATGTGTATATAAGCTCCTGGGGAAGGCTTACTGCACAGTATTTTACTGCATGGTAAGCCTATATCACATTAGCAGCACACGTAGATGCACTTTTTGACACCAAACCCATTATCCAGATAAGGTTATCTGTTTGGAAATGGTAGCATATTTTTCACATATTATACACCCTTGTTACTAAATTATGGCAAGAACCCTTCCTCAAGCCCCAGACCTGAATTTAGACCCACTTCAGGGTATTCCACTTAGATCCAACAGTATGATTAAGCCCCAGTAAAAATCAGTTTAGTATTCCCAAAAACGACCAAATGGTATTGAGATAACATGGAGGCACTTGTCTCACAACCACATAACCTGATGTATACTTTACTTGTTGCTTTTATTTGTATTTGCATTCATATGCTTAACAGTACAATCAACATTTAAACTGCACTAAATGTCTCTAAATTACGTTTAAGCATTGTCTTGAGAAGTAAACTTCATTGCACATGATTAGCTACTCACTTACGAACTGAGAAATGGCTTTTTTCTTGGAAGCCATAATTTCTTAGAAAAACTATATGTAGTTATAGAAAAGAAACACAAATACACTCTGTTCTCAGTGAAACAAAAATGGGGTTTTTGATGAAATGGTCAAATGCTGTTTCCAGGAATTAAATAGGTATAGCTCTTTTAATAATAACCTGGTAAGTTTATGAAATCCCCTTAATAGTGTTTTCACACAAAGTATCCATTTGTCATATTAGTGTAATTTATGCTTAATTCTTACTAAAAATCCTAAGTTTGGAAACATTTCTTCATAGAGCTCAAAATGTTTGGCTCCTGATGATGGTAATATGAGAAAAGCTGAGTGGAAATAAACAGATGCTGAGCAGCTGTCAAAAATTATTTTTATAAAAATGCACGTTCTGTGTTAGGTTTAGTGAAGAAAGCATTCATATATTGTAATATGAGATAAACCTGTAGAATATCATATGCAGCCCAAGCAGATATATATAAATCAAGAGATTTAATGTAGAAAGACATTAAATAATGTACATTTGTTAAACTGTACTTATATAAATATTGCTTTGTGATATAACATCCAGAACCAAATTTTCTAGTCAGCTTCACCTGTGTCCTCAAGTTGGAATATGTAGTAAATACTTACAGTTTGGTAAATGGGAATTATTATTGGGTTTAGGAATTAGTAACAAATCAAATAATATAGTTCAGTGACCTGTCGATATAGGGAACCGTCACATGCTTCAACTGCGAGAACGCTGTGGTGGACAGTTATGGTATAGTCTTCCAGTGGTGATGATCTATATCCTAACTCCTATCAGTTAGTGGTTGAGTTATGCTCAGCAATATGAAGTTTAATGTCTCATCTTTAATGCAAATATAATTTGTATCCTAATTGTAGATTTTTCCATTATCCTTAGAGATGTCAACACTTCTTAATGCTACTAGTTTTTGCCTTCAGTAATATCCTGTGATAATAGGCTCAACAGATTAGTTATGTAATATGCATTCCCTGTAAATTTGCATTATTAACAAGATTAGCTGGAGCACCTTCATTGCCTTTTCCCTTGCGTTGTATTACTTCTTGTACCTCTGTCTTGTCTCATTTCCTGTTCTATAAGTTGTCTTGCTCCAGCATATCTGATCAATGTTTTCAATTAAAATGTTTGTGCTGGCAAAATTATGGGCCCAAATACAAGTTTTACAATATTTCATAGTCTTACAGCATCTTAAAGAAGTGTTTAGTTTGGGCCATGGAAAAAGTACATTTTATTGCAATGACAGTATGTCTCTTTCTTTTTAGTTCGAAAGGATATAGTTCATATCCTCTCTGATCTAGACATTGAAGTCAAAGATGTAACAGACTTTTATGATATTAACTGTTTTCTTCAACCATTATCTTTGGAAGATGTGTTTGAAAAGACAGGCAAAGAATTTCCTATGGTTGCTGAGATTATAGAGGGGTCTGTACAAAGTAATCTACTTTATAATTTATTCTACCCTGGGAAAGAGATCATCATTCACAAAAAGTACCAGGCATCAAGAGTCCTTGCATCTGAGATCAGGAGTGATTCTCCTAAAAGACATTTTTTAATTCCTGCCAGCTATAAAGGAAAATTTAAGCGAAGACCTCGGGAATTGCCAACCGCCTATGACCTGGAGATAGCAAGAAGTGGAAAGGAGCAACTTCATGTGGTAGCAACAAAAGCCTTTGACTCTCCCCACAAGGAGCTGTTTTCTGTTTCTGTTGGAGACCAATTCATAGTACAGCAGTGTCAGACTAGTGAAGTTGTATATGAAGGAAGAAAAAAAGTGGTAGATGTCTTGGCCTGTGAACAAATACTAAACAATGCCTATGAGCAAGTGCTACTTCCTATGTATATGGAAGGGGGCTTTGTAGAGGTGGTTCATGACAAAAGGCAGTACCAGCTTTCAGAGATTTGCAAAGAGTTCCGCTTGCCCTTTAATGTCAAGGTGTCAGTGAGGGATCTTTCCATTGGAGAGGACATCTTGGCTGCTGTGCCTGGCTTGCAACTTGAAGAAGAAATCACAGACTCTTACTTGCTAATCAGCACTGTCAGCAATCCCACAGACAGTTGGGAAATTCCTGTGTATCGTTTAAATATGTCTATTCATCTGCTCAGCAAACCTGTTAAAGAAACTGCATCCTCAGCCACCAGGACTATTGTGGAAGAAATTAGTGAAGAACAATATTATATGGTAAGGAGATATGAAAATCAATCCCTACATCCACCACCCAGACCTCCCAAAAAGCCAGCAGCACTGGGGTCCAAATGTCTTCTTGCCAAACCAAACCAAAGTGCATCGGATACTTCTCTGAAGGTAAGAGACATGTATTATATATTCTAGTGGAGGGACGTCACTGTTTTTATTGATTTTGTATTGGCTTCTGTTTTTAATTTAACTGGTTTATCTTCATGCAGCATTTGGGATGTAGGAATTGAATAATCTCTTGCATTAGTCTGTAGGTGAAGGAACAGTTTGGGAGTGATAGTACCTAAATATTTAAAAATGAAGTGTATTTTGATACACAAGAATAAAATTGTTCTGGTAAAAATCACAGAATCAATCTCTCACACACACTCATTACTGGTATATTTCTTAGGAATATATCACACTGATCTCAAAAACAAATAGAGTTTGAATAGAAAGCACAGATTTTTACAAAGCTATAGAAGTGTCAATACTTTACTAAGGGGGAAAAGAATATACAAAAGTGCCCATTGTAAGGTAAATATTACATTTGCTTAGGAGCAGTGAACCCACAACAATCATACTTGTCATTTGTTTTCATTATATTTTTTAAATAGAGTGAGAAGTGTCTTAGTAGACCCCAGTTAGGACATGAGCACAGTACCTGTCCAGACTATATGTAGTTTATGGAACAGCAAACATTCCTCTCTTTCTTTCCTAAACATATACAACTCCACCATGTCATTAAAAATACACATCTCAATAGCAATTATTAATCAATTAAAGGAAATACGGAAAGAGGCTACCCGTTTCCTGTTTTCCCTCTCTGAAGCTTTGCTTTCCAGTGCTTTCCTGAGGGGTAGAGGTCAAGGCCAGCAGCTGCTGGAGAAGGTAAGGCTAATGGCAAGGCTTCAATAAGGCATGTTGGCAGAGAGTGGAGGAAAGGCAAGGCCCAGGTTTCAGAAGAAGTCTGTGTCAGACTAGGGACGTATGTGGTCTGTGCGCATTTTGTGTTTCATACTCCAGGAATGGGGGTCTGCTTAACTCCCTGTCTTCTGCTTCAGAGACAATTGGACTGTCAGTCAGAAGAAGGCAGACTGCTCACTGTTACCACTGCGTATGTGGCTCTGAACTAATAGTGGGTAATGCAAGATGTTATTTTTCTTTGACTGGAAGGGAGCAATTAGCATAAGAGTGAGATAAATGATGGTGCCTTTGCACATTCATGAGTGATAGTGACCTTAGACTTCAGCCACCAGACAGAGAGGCACATCTAAGGAGAATGTTGCAAAGGATGTTTCTATAAATGCTTGTAATAAATACATAATACATTACAGTCAGAATGCTCAGCCCATGCAGCTTGGTAAATCCTCCTTTCCTGGAAAGGTGAAATAAGTAAAACATCTTTTATTCAGAAGATTAAATGCTCTGAGACCCAATGTAATAGATTTAGAGTCACACAGAATGTATTATCTCTTCCTCCTGAACAGACAGCCCTTTGAAAGGACCTGGAACTAAGCCAGTATTTTTTTGCTGTGGCCCTCATTTCACCACAGTTACAGAGGAGGCTACAGCTTTTTCTAAACATACCTGTTAAATCTGAAGGTTCAAAAGAAACTGGAGATTAGGCCTAAATGACAAATAGCCTTCTTTGCATGTTTTCTGACTATGCTTGCCTCATTAGCATACATGATAGCCAGGGTCCTGATGAACAGAAGAACCTGACAAGACTGCAACATGGAGTGAGCTTTACTATCATAAGAACTGCTAATGCTTCTAGCTGGCTCTGGCATCTTGCCATTGATGATCAGGTAGTTTTGGCAGTTCCTGGAAATGGTGTTCATGTTTGTTCCTTGTTGTGGACTGGTAGGGGGAGAGGTTTGTGTTTGCTAAATAAAGGCCATACTATGCTTTTGGATATTTGGGTTCATGGCTCTGGTGCTATGTCCTGCTGCCTTTGGCTGCCAGGAAGACTTAGCTCTCCATGTCATCACTTGAGGACTTGCTGACTGGATTAAATGCCTCCAACACGATTTGGCTCTGGAGACCCTTTCATCCTCTTCCCCTGTCATGGCTGTGGAGTAAATATTGAGTGTAATACTGGGTGGCAGGTGCTCTGTCTGTCTCTGCCCACTGCACAAAGGCATAAATGGGCACAAACCCCAGTGACATAACTCCTCTCCAGATGACATCACTGCTGTGCAGGCACTGAAAAAGTTGTTCTTCCCCTTTTTTGAGTCCCAAAGTGCTCAGAAGTGTTGCTGTTTAACAGCTGCCACATTTTACCTATGAGGGGGCTGTATTGTTGGATGGATGCAAGCCCTTTAGGTACAGTATACTGAGATCAGGTGAAAGAGACTGAATGCATGCAATATATTTTAGGGGCACTAAAAGGTTGCAAATTGCAGGGCAGCATTTGTCTCATCATCAAAAGGATTTGCTTTTTCCTTCTTCCCAGATTTTTACCCTGTGAAGAACAGGTAAGAATAATGATAATGATCATCATTTCACCATTAGAATCTCAAATTCCAGTCCTCTTTCTGCTGGTGCAGCAGTAACTGTTAAGCAAATTGCTATCTTTTGTCATCCAAAGAGTTGTGGCTGAAGTAGGAGTCTCAGGAGTATGACATCCATGAGACTGACTTGATGATAAGTCCACAAATCCAAAAAGAATATCCCCTCTCTGTGTCAAATATCTGTCAGATGCATGTGGGTGGTAGAGATACAGATGTTTTCAGGCTGTCAGGATTTTATATCTGCCTATGATTTTTGAATCGCATGAGAGCGTCCTCCAAAAACATCAAAAGGTCCCTCAGCAGGAAGTAAAATACATCCTAGTGTGAAAAAGGAGTTATTTCAGTCCCTTCAGACAGTTACTCTTTGAAGCAGCAGGGAACTGTGTAGCCCTATAAATCACTTTATGCTGTTTGTCCCTTTAAAATCAGACATAGAGGACTTTGCTTCAGCTTTCCAAATGGATAGAAAATGTTGTCAGCCAGGAATACACAAGGGAGGTATCAGAGCTAAGAGCGTTGAATATGCCCTAAGACAGGGAGAAGAAATGTCTTGGGACAGGAGATTGTTCAACTAGTATGATGGGGTATAATTGCAAAGGGCAAATAGGAAAGTGTGTTGTATGTTGCTTCCTCTGAGGCAAAGGTCATCTTGTTTGTGGTGTCACAAAGCCATTTCTGATTGATTTTGTCATACTGACTTCTGATTGATTTTGCTGTACAAGGGAGAGCAATTCATAGTTTCTGTTCAGACTTGTATAGTGCAAAGTTTTCCCTTTTAGATTTAAACTATATGTTTCAAAGTCTGCAAATGCCATGGTTCTTTTACTGTTAATTGTTAAGATAATCACTACGTATAGTTATATCATAAAAAGCCCACCTTTTTTATTCTATAATCATCAGTTTCAGGAGACCGGGGAGGTCATTTTTCCTAGTATTTTCCTAAGTCAATCACCTAATGTTTGTGGGTATAACAAATTTCAGACTGTATCATTCTTTCTTGACTTGTTCCTTCCTCACTCACTTGGAGCAGTTTTTGCATTGAGCAGGCCCATAGCAATCCATATGAAAACATGGGCTGTAGCAGCAAAGATCAGAATTTGAGATGCAGAAGGAACCTAAGCCCTTCTCAGCACTGGTTGGTCATCTCCTGTCTTGCTACACACTTTGGATACAGCTATGGCATGTCAGATTTTTTCCTTACATAGTGATTGTCCCAAACCTGATTGAATTAGTCATTTTGGTGATATTAACATTGACAACGAAACTTTGTAGCTTTTTCCCATAATATGCTGTGAGAATTTGTCTCAAATCATGTCCTCGAACAGGAATTCACAAATATTAGCTGATTCAATGGAAGTGAATCTATTCTTTGTTTCTAGCTTCTTCGACCTTTGCCAAACACAGCATTATAAGAAAGATTTAATAAGTGTATATGAACAGCTAGAAAAAAGAGAAGGAAAACAAGAGTCCTGTTTGAGGCAATCTTTCTATTAAGACTATGAGCACATGAACAGACTTATTCTGAGACAGGAAACCCACAGGCAAACAACTGGAGGTAACTGCTTTGAGGCAACGGCATGAAAATGAATAGGCGTTTTGGGAAATAGCTGCCCAGATTTGAAGCAGGATAAAATTTCCTGGGTTAGAAACGTAGGGCCTTGGTCTGACCAGAACAGTTGTTCATCTTTGCCTCGCATCCTACAGCAGGTCACCCAGGCTGGTTAAAGCTGTCCTGAAGCCTCCAGCAGGGCCTAGCTCTCCACCTACTCAGCTGGCCTTCCACTTCTCCCCTATAAACTCTTGACATGGAGCAGGAAGTGCCTGGGCAATGGGGCTTAACCTGATTCCAAACTGTTTTACTGTTTCCTCTGGCTTGTGCTCTGACTCTGCTCTCTGCTTGATCTCCAAGCTTCTTTCATTGGCTTTTTCCCTGACTCTGCTCTCTGCCTTGCTTCCTAAATTGGCTTGTTCTGAGACCTGGTTCTTGGACTAAGCTCCTGGCTTCATGCCACAACTTGTCCCTGAATTCTGCTCTCTCTTTCTGACCCGAGTTTGCACCTCAATCCCTAAGTAGACCCAGACCCGGGTGCCCGAGACCTAGCATGACACAAATTTACCTGGCTTCAATGTTAAGTTACTGCAGCTCCCCACCCCCCAATCTGGCAACAGGGGGGTTTCCCAAAAGATCCTATTGGCAACAGTGGGCTTTGGATCAGACCCTTTAACCTTGCATATTTCATAGTGAGAGACAGTTTTATTAGGGTGATATATTTAATTGAACAAACTATGTAGTAGACTTAGATAAACAATGCAAGGCATTCTTTGTTAGGCTGATAATGTTAGGTAGTCATGTTGACCTATGCTTAGTCATCTAGCAGAGATACTATACACATTCAAGAATCAAAAGACTTCAAAAACCTAACTATCAACTATCTGGCTATTCTTACACATGATACATATTTTTTAAAAATGCACCTCTGATATTAAAAGTTTCTTAGTGATCAGCTAAGGAAAAGTAGCATGTTCAGTTGCACAACCCACTTTAGCTGCTGTCATCATTGGCAATCCCTTGATTTGAGGATGATCACTACCACAGCTCATTGATGGGTCTTGAGATGATTTAAGAACCCAATTCTTGAGCCCCAGATCAGTCTGCAAAATTGCAGGTCTTTCCATAGGGGAGAGTAGGCTGCAGGCTGGAATTCCTCTCCTTTTCTTTCCTCTTCTCTCTCGTCTGCTTTGAGGGCAAGATGCTTTACCTCAAAATGGGCTGCTGCTTGGTTGATGTTGCAGTATCACTGAAGTTGGTCATCAGCCAGCTCCTCCCAACTCTTGATGTTGGCATCTGTTTTCTTGAGGCATGCCTTCAATGCCTCAGAAAGAATTCCCTTGCTTTTTGTCAGGCCACTGTGAGATCTCAGCTCATTAGTCAGCTGGGAGAAGAACAGTTGTTTTGGGAGTTGAGAGCCAGGCATCTGAGTATAATGTTTAGTCCAGTAAGGTTGGTGCTTGAGGATCACCAGCTCAATGCTGGTAATGTTGCCTTTAGCAAGGTTGCTGGCATTTGTGTGGTTATCTTCCCATTTTCTGGAGGCACTGTTGGTGATACCTCTCCAGACTCTGGAGATGATGATAGGTCGCCCACATTTTACATCCATAGAGGAGAGTGGGGATGTTGACTCTTTTGTAGACCTGGATCTTGGTGTCTTTCTGGAGGTAGTAATGGATAAAGATATACCAAGACAATTTCCAGAAGGAAGTACTTGCCCACTGGATCCTGTACTGGATCTCCTCATCAGTGTTCACTAGTGGCTCAACTACCTCCAGGGTCTTTACCTTGATGGTAATTTGGGGTGGAGGGGGGGGTGCACATTCATGTCCTAAAGGAGACTGATAGAGCGTTTTAGTTTCTTGATGTTGAGAGAGCTGCCCAAAGTTTGATAGGCTTCTCCAAAAAGACCCAATGCTGCAATCTCAAGGTTTTCCTCACCGTGTGTACAAATGATGCAGTCATCAGCATATTAAAGGTCCAGGATGGTTATTTTGAATACTTTGGTCTTTGAGTGAAAATAACCCAGATCGAAGAGCCCTTCATTCATTCAGTATCCAGTGTCAATTCTGGAAGGAAGGCAGTCCTGACTAAGAACCAGGAAGACCGTCAGAAAAATGGAGAACAGAGCTGGGGTGATGATCCTTGCTTGACCCCAGTGCAGATGACAAATAGATCTGTTTCCGGTGCACTACATAGAATAGTCACAGTCATCTGGGCCCATTTTGGATCTTACAAACAAAATACAATAAAGGCAGTTGAGAATGTGTTTGCTGCTATTCTCATTAGAGAATTGCCTAAAATGGTATCAAGGAAACATGTGATGCAAACCTTCTTCAGGGAATTCATAATCATTATAGAATTTGTTGGTAGAAATTAAGGCAGGTGTAAATGAACATTTAGATATGCTAACTGATGTAAAAAAATGCTTTAGGTGGATGAAAACAAATGGTAACACAATTTTATGGATTGGAGAAGAGGGAAAGAAGAAACAGCAAAATTAAAAAGATGTCCAGAAGTAAAAGCACAGAAAAATAAGGAGCCCCTTTATTATAATGAAATACTTTAAAAAAGAACTCACGTGCAAGTAGGCTGTGACTAAAAGTCCTTTGAAGTCATTAGGAGTAGAGCTTTTTGGAAAACAGAATTTATCTCCTTTAAAAAAAAGGGGGGGGAGCGCAAAATATAACACAACACCTGACAAATTTTGACATGTTGCTGGAGCAAAATACTCAAAAAAATTCATTTTAGAAGAACTGAAAGAGTAATTTTAGCAGGCTACTCATAGTGTCCATCTTCCCAAGCAGATACCTCTCTAGGTAGTCTGAGCTCTCAGAGAGGTATCTCCCTAGGCTGCCCAACTCTCATTTTGATGTCCTTGCTCTTATCCTCATGACAAGTATAGCTGGATAATCCCATGTGTAGTAGGATACCCAACAGCTGGCTGTGAAACAGGGCATGAAAGTGTGCTGATTTGATCCTAAGTCCATTGAAGTCACTGGAAAAAAAAACTTTAAATTAGACTTAGTTAAACATTTTCCATCTCAATGATTTTCCAGTGAAGTGCAGTTTTTGCAAAATCAGGGTGCCTAGCTCTATGCCCCCTGGCTCCTTGAGGCTCCCTTCAGAGCTCAGCTAACTGACTTCCCAGGTGTCTGACTTCTTGGCATGCTGCTTACAGGATGGATAATCCAAGGATCCTGGGGAGTCAGCATCTCAAACTGACTTTTGTAGAAACTGTATTTTCTGTTGAATAATTATTGAGGTGGAAAATGCCTGCCCAGATCCAAGCGGGAGTCTTTTCCGTGTCTTCAGTGGGCTTTGGATCAGATCAACCAATTGGGCATAACATGCAACGTTGCAACTGCCAACTGTAGAATCTCCTTCCAAGGATGTGATTATCTGGATGCACTACCATGAAGACAAGGTAAACATAATGAAAATCTTTAGAGAGCAATGTAGGGACAAATAAATATAGTGACAAATAATGGCTGTTTTTCAGGACTTGTTTTTGCCCATTTTAAAGGGGGAAAAAAAGAGCTGAGCAGAACCACTGCAGCAAGCAGAGACCGTGATTATTTAAAAATAAAGTCTATAAAAGTTTTGCCTTTCTATTTTAAAATCATTATTATTAAAAGCGTGTGGACTGTCTTAGTATGTATTATTATAACACCTAATGTGATGGCTGATACAATGCCATGACATTTTGTTGTCAACTTTTCACCTTGTAGTTAAGGTATACAAAGATAGGTTCTCTCTGATAAACCTCCTTTTGCCTAGAATATATGGTTATGGACTGGGCAGATGATAGGTGTTATAGATGCTTATCATTACATCCTTGATGCATTACCTCTCAAAGCTACGTGTGGCATCATTGAGCAATTTGCACCATATCTTGCATGTATGTATTTTTTGTTCCCACCTCTGGACAGCAACATTGCATAGCTTCAGAGGTTGTCTCAAAATAGTACTGTGCTTCTTTTCTATAGTCCACCATATCAACATTTAGCAGTGTACAGATTTCCATGCAGGATTATTTTAAGGATGCAAATATTAGACATCCTAACTACCTGATGTCTGATACAGATAGGGTTTTTGCCTTCCTGTGTAGCAGGGTGTATGGCCCTCTTTCTGGGATATGTTTTTGCCACCAGGATGTTGGCTACTATGGTCCTCCTGCTTTACCTGTGGTAGGTTAGGGTGTTATGTGTTGTGCTGGCCAAACCACACAGTCAACCCTAAGTGGATTTGTGTAGGCTGGTTCAGATGGATAGGTTGGGATGATCCTGTTTTTGGCTAGAAGTATAGATGACCGCTTGGGAACTCTTCCAGCCCTATTACTCTATGATCCTCTATGATCAACCCATCTTCTTTGTGCCTTTGTAATAATAGTACCTGCACTTTGCATATTGTCTTGCCAAAGGATTTCAATACAGCAACTTTATCTTGCCACCTTATTTTCATTAGCTTTCCCAGACAGCTTAGATGGCAACTGTTTGACTTTTTATACGCAGGCTTCAAGGTTTCTATGATTCACCAGGATAGAATTAGGACAGGACTTTCTAGACTTCAAAGATCACTCCTCTACCCTTCATAAAAGCTGTTAAATAATTCCCACAAGGTATGTGCATCTTAGCTGGAATAATATATGTTGCTGTGTGAGATCACATAATGTGATCACCTTTTTTTTTGCTAAGAAAGTAAGGTATGGAAGTGAAAATTTCATTGATGAAATCCTAAGTTACTTGGTCAATAGGCTCACCACTGATGTAGGATTCTTTGTTGAACAGATTTTTAAAGCAGTCATCACACTTTTTAGAACTTGGTCCTTTTCCATTAGAAAGGTGTTTCTATTTGAATTCATGGAACAACATGGGTATTTTAAGACCATTTTAAAACATCTTTATGTCACTTAGGTCTAATTGTGCTTCAGTTTAACTGCTTTCCTGCTTTTGCAGGTGTCCTTTGTAGCTCTTAGCTTAGATTGAAGGGTGTCATGCATGTTGAAAAGTTTTCTTAGATGTATTTTTTCCAGTTATCCCACATAAATATAGATGAAGTTACCCATCAAGAAATCTCTTTATGTCCTCTGTGTTGTCATTAAACCAACCTTGATGTTTCTGAACCTAGGATGTTCAAAGCAGCTATGTAGACATTGTCCTTGAAGTACTTCCAGTCAGCTTCAAAGTTGCAGATTGTTATGTTCAAAGGAGTACATTTCATCTTATGCTTTCACTATCTTTCCAAAAGTGCCATGTCAATAGGTGAGGCAATAGGAGAGGCAAAACAGCAGGTATGACTATATTCTGCTATAATGGAATAATTGCCAGATATGGTAGAATAACTGTGAAAAAGGCAATGTTTAGGGCACTTTCTCCAGTCCCTTCTTCAGACTTTAGAGAGGATCTGTGAAATCCTATAAAGGGCTGCCCAATCAATGTGGAGTTCGCCAAATTCAGCTGCTGCTTTAAAACCGTGAAGAATCAACCTCCATCCTGAGCTGCTCCTGTGCAAATTTGCAACTACTGCTTTCCATATAGTGCAACAGAGACTGGCCCCAGGGGCCCCTGAGCCAGATCTCATCCACTCATAAGCTAGTCGTCTGTCACCTTAAGAGCTAATTTATGGCCTCCTCATCTCCCCTTTTAGCCATGCCCAAGCCTCACAGGTATTACCAATCAATCATCACCAATCAGTCTACTGGGTGCTTATCCCTCTCTGTCCTTCCTCTGCCCTGTTCGCAGGCTCTCGCTTTATTCCCCTTTTAGGGCCCTTTATGGATGATTCTTCCCCATCAAGGCGCTCTTCACCTTGTTGTGGTGATGGGGCTT